CCCCATTTTTGCGTGTACCCCGACGAGATCTTTGCGCCGTACAACGTAACTCATCGCGCTGATTCCGAATATGTAAAAATCTCAAATACCGCTTCTCTAGAAAAAAATCATCAAATTTTGATATGAGAGAAGACGACTCAACCGAACCTTACCTGCCCAACAGAAGTAGAATTCTTGATCAGTAGTGAGAGACAGCAAGCATAAGCAATAAGTTGACAGTACGTGACTTTTATCGAACACCTAAGGAGTTACTATTTGCCAGCCTCTCGTAGTTTAAGCACGTAAACAAGTGTATTCGATGCCGAATTAATCTCTAAAAACTGTATATGTCAAGAGTTTTAAATTATCGCTATCAACGATTTATTTTCAACGATGTACTTCTAAATACTTTCCAGGTACACTTCGATGGAATACAACAGGTATAACTGTTGCGGGTCAAGCTGATGGAACAAGCGGAAATGGATCAAATCAATTACTTTATCCCAATAGTGTATTTCTTGATTCTAATGAAGATATGTATATAGCCGATCGAAACAATTATCGTATTCAAAAATGGTTAAAAGGTGCAGTGAGTGGAACAACAGTAGCTGGTAATAGTGCAGATCCCAATGTCGATAATCAACTAAAGTACCCTGAAGATGTTTATGTTACGCAACAGCAGATGATATATATTTCTGATAGTTATAATTATCGAATACAAGGGTTTACGAATGGTAATTTATCAAGTGGTAGAGTAATTGCGGGTATAACGCAAACGCCTGGTAATGCAACAAATCAGTTGAATGATAACGAACTTTTTTCATTTGATTCTACCAATACATATTTATATGTAGCAGATTCTAATAATCATCGTATTATCAGATTTTTGGCAAATTCAACAGGCGGTGATAACGGGACTGTTGTTGCTGGCGGTAATGGTCAAGGAAATAATATTAATCAATTAAATGGTCCAAATTGCATCTACCTTGATAGTATCTCAAATACCATGTACATAGCAAACAAAGGCACTTCTTTAGATGTCTTTGTTAGTCAGTGATCAAGAGAGAGAGACTACGTAGGGCGAATGTCCTCTAGCTAGAATGAATGGTAGCGGCAAATGGAGAGAGAAGAAGTAGCTCCCTTATATACTCCTATGCAGTGAAGGACAACCGTTGAGCACACAGTGAGAGAAAGCGTTAGTGATTGCAATGGTAACGGTTCTGCCTATGGATCCATTGTGAGTAGCGGCCTCAGGTTTGGGAAAGGGACCTTTGTCTAATGTAATGACTTGAAAAGTGATGTTCAACGTTCTTCATCACTCACTATAGCATTATATGAAGAAACAAACGCTGAAACATCGAAGAAAAACGAATAAGATATACTTTTAAGAAATACAGTTTCACATTCGAACTCATTCCAAGCGATCTACGACCCTCGTCCCCTATTTTTTTCCAATATATTAATAGCACATTTTGTAGAGAATTTCAAACTGTACAAACGGTGAAAGTTTGAAGATGCCGCCGAATGTCTAAGTTGGTCAAAAAAGTTCAATACTAAAATCGTCCGGTTTTTGAAATTTTGAAAATCCGGATTTTCAGTATCAAGATCTTCTCGAAAGTTAATATCAAGCTCGTCACCGGATGCGCCTTGAAAAGCTGCATCGAATGAGACCTCATTCGAGAAGATCGGATAAGAAATGACAAAGTTATAGCCGATTTACTGGTTGAATGAAAACACCACATCTTCATTTTGGGCCTCTTTTTGTAAATTCCATAACTACACGTAGCAATGTTTTTGATACTTTTCCTCTGAGTCGTAACCTCAATTTTGTATGTACTATCGAATAAAAATAGTTTCAGCCAAATCTATTTTTCGTCATTTCCAGCCGCCTGTTGCACATGCTCGATTTTCTCGCGACGTCTCTTACACTTAAAAGTGTTCTAACGGACATATCTTTTCGTGATCTGTTAGTTTATTTTGATTATCAGCTGCCGATTGATAATAATTTATTGCTAAATTATAATTTTCCTAAGACATACCACAGTATTGCGCATCATTTCGATAAAAATCACCGATACCGTCATATTTCGTGCCAATATTAAAAGAACAATTTAATTCATCATCATTCAAATATTCATTCCACATTTCCAATGACTGATAATAATTTGTTAATGGTAAATAAAAATTTGTTTCTTTCGAACCCATAGAATATTGTGCTAAACAATGAATTTGAACGCCTGATATCCAACCTTTTTCTAATGGATATAAATCAATCAACTGATTAAAAATTGTATTTATCTCCTTCGTAGATAATTGTTGAATACCATTTATTAGTCCTACTAATACAATTTTTCAAAAGTCTTCTTGTCGTCGAATCTTTGTCATCTTTCATATTATCAATGTCATTAGAAACTAACTTCAGTTTAACTGTCCAGATTTTTTCATTATTATCGTACGATACATCACTAGCTCTTTCTATTTTGAAACGTGTTCCGGCCATAAATGAAATTTCAGCTTTAGTAGGAAAATAACTTAAATGTGAAATATTAGCATAGAGAAGAGATTTCTGTTGACTGTCAATTTCAATTTCAAAAACTCGTTCCAATCCTGTTGTGATTGTCGATGATTGAAGAAATGATAATGATACATGACGATCTAGAGATGTTGAAAGAAAACTGGTATTTACAAGTGAACATAGACAATAATTTTTAAGTTTTCTTATTTCAACATTTGATATGACTTGTTCCCGACATCCTTTAATGATTTTATTATTTCCTGAATTGAATAATTTAAACTGTTCACGTTCATCTTTTAGTTGTCGATATAAATCTTGTATAAAAAGTCCAAATAGAAATACCAATTCAATATTATTTTGGCGTAATGCTTTATTTATTAAACGGTAGAGAAATATGGGACGTGTATACCACCACATAGCTTTGTCTTTCGTGTAATTTATTTCAAATTTTTGTAAAGTTTTTAGTTCTTCTTCTTTACCGTCATAATAATCTTTTAATAAATTAATGAGACGATGATGATAATCGCCTGGATATGGTAGTTGAATTAATAGATTAATAAATGATCTCGACCAAGTGTCTGAATAATGTGTTGTCTTATCCTTCCTTTCCAGTTCACTCAATACACCATCTTTCTCATGTTTTAAATATTCCTGAACACTTCGATTCAAATCATTTAACAATTGATCAAGTTTGTATGAATTTATTTCACCTGTTTGAAAATTGCAAAAGGACAAGCTACATTTTACAAGCTGCTACGAAAAGCTGGAGGATTTATTATATCACTCGTTCTTTGTAATTCAACAATTTACTACCTGCCTTTTTATTCCGAAGTTCCTTGTCCTGTCACACCAAACTTCCTATACTTACTCATTAGTGACTTCATTTATCTTCTATTAGGTTGGCCAAAAAGTTCTGCAACAGTCATTTTTCAGACACTTTACAGTAGTCCAAAGAGTTCTTTCTAGATTAATCGATAGAGAATTGAATTCTTTCCGAAACCTGCTATTTGAATCTCTAATAACATTTTTGTCGTATGAGCACCATTTAAAATATTGCAGGATGCTGGGTTCTAGAACTGCGACACACTGAAAATGGAAAAATATTTGTCTTGATCCAAAGACAGATTTGATAAGGATTTTGAAAGCAGCTAAAGATTCACCGGAAAATTCTACATCTTAAAGGTACTTTTCGAAATTTTACAGTTAAGTGTTCTAGGAAAATTTCTCTGTGCACAAAACTAATAAATCTAATAAAATCTAACTTTTAAACCTACCTTTCAGAGACCTTAGTATTTTTACTATAAAAGCAGTAAAACGTTCTGAATTCAGAATTTTAGTCTTGCTATCTTATACAGAATTAAATTTTGCATTATCTGATATATAAACGCAGTTTCTCAATTGAAACCATTAATTAAAAAATTAATGTAATTTGAAAAAATTGAAAAGCCGGTTGAGAACTAATTATGATTCCAGCTGACGTAGTGGAAACATTGTATGAAATTGTAAATGAATGAGATCAATAGAGCACAAAATTCTCTGTCTTTCTACGTAGAACAATTAACTATTGAACCTCAGACAATGGACTAAAAATCTCAAAAACGGAGACGACAAAAGCACGTCGCAGTTCTAGAACCCAGCATCCTGCAATATTTTAAATGGTGCTCATACGACAAAAATGTTATTAGAGATTCAAATAGCAGGTTTCGTAGAGAATTCAATTCTCTATCGATTAATCTAGAAAGAACTCTTTGGACTACTGTAAAGTGTCTGAAAAATGACTGTTGCAGAACTTTTTGGCCAACCTAATATATTTCACGTAAATGTCTCATTCGTAACTGCTGTTGAATTCAGCCTTAGTACGGCAGGGAGTTACAGTACGAATGCTGTATTGTAAACTTTTAAAAGTAAAACATCACACATTATACACATACTTACTTTTGAATATTTTAAAGTCTCTTTTCGGTGACATTCTTTATTTTGCCAATAGACATAAATTGACCAAATACTTTTCAAAGTATGAATTTGTGGAATTAATATTTCTCCCAATTGTCCTGATGTAACAAGAAATGTTGTAAAGCTGTCGTCGTCTTGTATTTGTTCTAGTAAAAATACTGTTTACATTGTTCAATATTATCAAATAATTTTGTATTTTTTCTTAGACCTATGAGTGTAATTACACTATCATTGTGATCATTTTTATTAACATTTGCATCTAACCATACTAATTGATGTGATTCAAGGTTTACTCGATTGCGATTAATCACTTTGGTGCGTGATGTTGTTGTAGTAGTACTAGCCGACAGTGGTGTAGTTAGAGTTGTTGAAGTAGACGTGCTGTTCGTTGGATCGTCGGCAGTCTTACTCTGATTTCAATCCATTTCTGTTAAAAGGAATAGAAGACAATTCTACATTCATGAGCTAACCGAGAATGCCTTTTTTCTCAAACATTGAAGTTATAAACTCACCATTTAAGCTTAATAGTTAAAAAATAATCTCACGCACAATCATCGCCTTATGCTTTTAGCAAATAAATGTTCTTTTGTTTGATTCCACCAAAGTTTGGGATTGGCTAACAGACTTAAGAATGCTCCATTCCGCACAAAACTTTTATTTTATACTTATAATTTGTTAACTGCTTCTTTGCCACTCAGTAACTGCTATAAAAACATATATATTTTTCACTTGAGAATGTTTGATTTAGATAACAATCATCATCAATTTCATTCTTTTGAATGATAAAATACGCCCACTAAAGGACTCCCCCCCCCCGTTAGAAACCTGACTCTGAAGCTATAAGTCCGATCTTGACCATACTTTTAGGAAATGCTGATCTTGTGAAAGTATGGTGACGAAATTTCTTGTTTGGCTCCATCGCGCATGGTTTGTGAGATGTCGCCACAACAGTGACCAAAACGGGGGTGTTCGTAGCTCCCAGATTTCTCAGTAACGAAACGTTGTCGGGAGCTCGGGTTGGTGTTAATATTGACGAAAACACATTTGGCTAGACGATAATAGAGCCGGATTTTTGATATTTTACTTTTCAAATTAATGGTCAGCGCCAAAAGTCCAAAAATTGCAAAGTCGCATTAACTTTGGTAAAGATATTTTTCTAAACACAAATCTAGACCAAACATCAAAAATCGGGCTCTATTAGCCTCCAGCCACATGTGTCAGCTTCAATTTAAGACTTTTCCGAGCTCTCTGCGATGTTTCGTTACCGAGAAATCTGGGAACTACGAAATGGTGTTAAGGTGAAAGTCGCTTTCGATATATGGTGGCGCCAACACCTAATGCATGTTTTAGAGCTTTCAGCAAAACTCTCATAACTCTTGATCAGAACATCATTCAGAACTGGGAAATATCTCATTTTGGTCAGAAATGTTTGCTCTATTTTCCTATATGCTGAAAATGATTTTCGATTTGCATTTTAATCGGAAAGTAAAACTTTTTCCAAAAGCCAGCTTTTTAAGGTTTTCAGAAAACGCTTCTAAAAACCTCCATAGCCCTTCGACGAGGGCCAGATAACATTGGATCCTGATAGTAGATACTGTGGGCTATCTAATGACGTGCTTAGCTCAATATCGAATTTTTATAAAAAAGATTACGTTTCTGACGCGGAGGGGTGCCTTAATGAATTTTGAAGCTTCGATAAAACCGTCAACTCAAAAGCATGAAAACGCTTTCACGGCCTCTTCACGGTATTATTTTCATTGTTTTCCTTTGGCAAACTGTCAGTTCATGATTTTATTTCTACAGTTTTGAGCTTTACGATATCTTTTCATGGTTTTAATTTTACAATTCTTAAACTGACGGTTTTGTTTTAGGGTTTTTCTTCGATGATTTGAAAAGTTTGGATTAGTTTGAATTTTACATAATATCCTTTTAAAGAAAACACGTATCAGTCGTGCGAACTGATTCCCACATATACATTTTTCAAAAAACCTTTTTAAAACAATCGACTGACAGAAAACAATAACTTTATATTCTTTTATGTTCGACCATGTATTTATATTAAATTTGTATGAGCTACTGGAAATTCAAACTTCGAGTTGAAACTTGGTGTTGATTTATTTATACATGATTGAATAGAGCTCATCAAGCTGCTCAAGAATATCTGTATTTTAATTTTTCAAAAGAGTTCTTTAATGAGAAAAAATTAAAAAAATTCGAAGAGTCTAAAATTTTGAAAAACCCTTCAGTTTCAGTATTGAATATACCAAAATTCGCACTAATCTGCTGATACTCAAGTGCGTCTAGTTTCATCAGGAACAATTGCCAAAATGAGAAAATTATAGTGTGGATATCTAGTAAATAGAGCTACTTAATCCTGAAAGAATAAAATGATTGTCTCAATTCAGCTGGGCGATAACCACTTACAAGGGGTTAAAAATTTTAAAAATTCATATCTCAAGATTGTTACGAGTAAGCGAGATGGAACAGGCTTAGGTAATGAGGATTAAATGTGTTTTCGAATTCAAACGATGGCAGATTTGTAGCGAATTTAACGGCCGATTTTTCTGCAAAAAGATATTTTTAACCTCAAGGATGCCGAAATAACGAGGCCTCAACCTTTTTCGGTCATGTACGTACTGTGTCACACAAAGTGAAGTGGGAAAACGTAACGAAGAGACATGAGATGCTGATCCACATACCGCTGGATAGAGCTCCATATTCCATATTCCACATATTCCTCAGCCCTAACATATACCACACAAAAGTTATAGGACAAAAACTTGAAAGTTGAGGTCATACATGAAAGATGTGCTATGTGAAGAGTAATCTGCCGTTCTGCGGCCAATGTGCTTTCCAATAAGATTTTTTAGGAAAAACTTGTACTCTTAACAAGGAAGAAAAGACATAACAATTTGTCTAAATTTCGCTGGCCAAAAAAGCTGGGGCCTAAATGCTAGAAAAAAAGGCCTGAACACACATAACTGAAAAAAGTGTTTTCTTCTTTTTTTCCTTATTTTCTTCGTCTAATGAAAACTAATGCCTTATTTGTAATCTACGAATAAAACCGCATCGAATAGGCTATTTTAGAAGTGTTCACTGCCTTACATATAATACATATGGTAAACCACGAAGTTGAGACATCTTTTTGCCTCTAAAGTGAATATTTGAGTATAAATGCGCTGAGTAAAAGAACAGGCATGACTCCTGTTTTATAGAGCTTGTTCTTCACTAACAAAGCCTTATATTTAGATAGTTCTTATTCGAAACAGGAAGCTGTTTCTTTCATCATGGGTCAGCACCTTTGCAGAAACCAAGAAAACGCACTCGTATTTTGCAGTTTTCACCGACAAACCTCCATTTTTTGCAAAACGAATGTTATATTTAGAATCAGCATCAAAAACTGAATTGACTGATGTGCGTTCCAAGTTTTGGGGATAACTTTGATTTTTTACGAAAAATCTCAATGGAAAATTCAGATTTATAATCTTTGCTTTCATTCAAGGGAGCAAGCGGTGGCTTTTGTTCTTTCAAGATGCGTCCTTTTACGTTTCTTGTGCATGTAAAACAAAATGGAGAGATGATTATTGATTGAACAGGAGCTGTTATACACATAGGAACTGCATTTCACGCTCGATCAATACGTCGAGATGAGTGTCAAGTATTATATGATGAATTAGGTATAAGTGGCAGCGCAACTGGAATGTTTATTAAAAAGTTGTTAGCCTTACCACAAGATGCTTTGCGCGCTTGTAATTTGGATAACATAAGGAAAAATCCAAATCTCTATCACAAAATAGCATCATACAATTAGAAAGAAGTACGGTGTCTTTTATTTGAACGCGCTGAGGTAAAAATACATAAACGCTACCATATGATGATGATGCTCCAGGAATAATACATGTAAGGTGCCGGAAATCCGGAACGGGCACACAAAAATAGATTTCCCTGAAACATACATCGTCAGATAGAGCTCGACGAGTAGATTCCGAATGTGTCCTTGGAACTGAATTTTCATCAAGTTTGGGTGGAGAAATCTTCAAAATACGAAGAAGGTATCAAAAACGGCACTTCTGACCCGTTTTGACAAAACTTAAGATTTCACCCCTTTGGCGTCACTATATATTTTTGAAACCAATTTATTCGGATTCAGCATCAAAAATTAAGTATATCCATGTGAGTTTGAGCATCTCTCACCGTATTTGTTTGTCATTGTACTGTTGTTTTTGATAATGCTTCCACTGTTTACTAAGACATACATACATGAAATACTACTGAAATTCTCTCAACTTCTCTCAGCTTGTCTACATCGCCTTACCTTACCTTACCCTATCTGAAATTCTCTCAACTTCTCTCAACTTCTCTACATTGCCTTACCTTACCTTACCTTATCTGAAAATCTCTGAACTTCTCTACATTACCTTACCTTACCCTATTTGAAATTCTCTCAACTTCTCTCAGCTTCTCTACATTGCCTCACCTTACCTTAGCTTATCTGAAAACCTCTGAACTTCTCTACATTACCTTACCTTACCCTATCTGAAATTCTCTCAACTTCTCTACATTGCCTTACCTTACCTTACCTTATCTGAAAATCTCTGAACTTCTCTACATTGCCTTAGCTTAACTTACCCGATCTGAAAATCTCTGAACTTCTCTACATTACCGTAAAAAGAAAGAGCATTTTCTC